GTTTTCGCTCATCGAACGGGCCAAACGAGACCTGAATATCAAGGAGTACACCGTGTCCCAGACTACGCTCGAGCAAATCTTCAACAACTTTGCGGCCCAGCAAACGCAAGAAAAGGGCGTCGCGCGCGGCGTCGAGAAGCTCGCGGGCGTCGACGACAACTACCACGCCATGCATGCTTAGAGAACTCGACATGCTTGAGATAAACATGAAAAATTATTGCCGATGTAGTCCATGCATGCCTTTGCAACGTGAACGCGACAAGATGGTGCAGTTTGATGGAGCCGCCGACCTCCCGAATCCATCATCCATGTCAGCGCAAGAAACCTCCACGTCATGCACCCATCTCTCTCTACACGCGAGCGGGTACGAACAACGACACGCAGAGCCGACGTACGTCGGCCTGGTGTGGGACCATGCTGAACCGACCACGCTGGAGTTGACCGCCAAGGTCGTTCCTTGCCCACAGCGCAGACGGTCCCCGAAAGTTCCTGGCTCCGTCGAGATGTTCCCTTTGTTGAAGTGTCTTATTCGGGCCGGAGGTTGGCGGCAGAGCCCCCGCGCTCGGCGCTCTCTGTCGTCCGTCGTGGTATGATCCAGTGGCATGTTTCGCTGCGGATGTCGTGGGAGCGGGCGATGGTATACAAATGTGAAGATGAAACGCCTGTCGATGTAGAATTTGGGTGGAAGGCCGACCACGTTGGCAGCCCAACTGCTCCACCAGCTGTGGCCGCGTCGTGGCTGCTACAGAGGTGACAAACACGACAAGGGCGTGGCGTTGCCAACCCAGATTTGTGCAGTGATCATGGGACGGTGGTGTTGGTTGCTCAAGGGGTTGTCGATCGCGGCAACGGCCGTGGCCGCCAAGGATTGCCAGGACATGGAATCCACGCGGAGCATCGACCTGGGAACGTCGGGACTGTATGCGGTGCACAGTCGTGTAGAACAGGATGGGTCCCTGCTCTGCCTCAAGGCGACATTCACCGGCACCAACACAACGTGGCTCGCCCTCGGCATCGCACGTGGGAACCAAATGGTCTCGACGGTACCGGCCAACGTGATTGTGTTTGATGCGGCCAAGATGACCGCCAAAACGTACGTCGTGAATGGAAAGGGACTGGCCAAGGTTGTCTTGCAAGAAGATCAATCGTCGTTCACCGTGATAAACATGACGTCGGAGTCCTCGTTCATGTCGTTCACGGTGTCGCGCCCGATCGCTGCGAACGAATCGCAGCCGAACGAGGTGGACATTCAGTTGGAAGAGCCGACGAACCTCATCTGGGCGTACGGGTACAAGTGGCCCGGCAAGCACTCGACCAGAGGTAGGCCTTTGTGTTTACATCACGTCAGACACACACGAATGATGCAGGAGCTGTTCTGCTCGCGTTCTCATCTGCGCGAGACACCGTGAATGCGGGCACGACAGAGACCCCTCTGTTTATTCTCGGCACGATCGTTGCAATGCTGCTGACTGCATCGCTGGCGCTGCGCTATTCCTTCAGTACGTGACAAGATCTCACTCCCCAACCCATCCCGACGTCGTTTCCGTTCGTAGAACGCCTCGACCACAAACTCGTGCCTCCGCCGCGGTACTCGTCGTCCTGCTTTATGGTGCAGCGCACGATGAGCGACCTGTCCGTCGGCGAGTACATCCTGATCGTGTTGTACGCCACGGGCTTCCTCCTCGTCCTGTTCATGCTGCCGTTCTACGACGTCGACGCCGTCGCGTTGGAGCGTCGAATGGCGCTCGCCGCCGGCCATCTCGCTTTGTACCATCTCTCGTTCCTCATCGTGCCCGTGTCCCACGTTGGGTGGTGGCTCAATTTGGCTCAGTCGCGCCTCCTCAAGTTCCACAAGGCGATGAGTGGCCTCTTCCTCGCCACGGTACTCCTCCATTTGTCTGTCAACATCCAAGCGTACGGGCTGTCCGTCATGTGGGTGTCCATTCCGTTCGGCAGCCAGAACGTGTTCCCGCTGTACGGGTTCGCCGCGTTCGTTTGCTTCATCTGCATGGGTACGTCATTCCAAACAGGACGGCACTTCCAACATTTTGGTAGGCGTCGCCGCGATGCCCATGGTTCGCCTTAACTTGTACGAAGTGTTCCTGACCGCCCACCGAAGCCTCTTTGTTGCCGGGATCGTCTTGGTTTTTCTTCACAGCCGGACGGCCCGCCTCGCCCTCGTTTGTCCGTTGGGGATCTATGCCGCGGGCGGCATTTTTGTCCGCCTCCCGCCGCTGTTTCAAACGTACGGCGGGGTTGTCCGTGGAGGCGTGCACTCAGTGTACACGTAGGTACACGGTCCGGACAACGATCACGACATCGCACACTGTGCTGCTCACGTTGCCGCTGACCAAGGCAACCCAGCGATGGGTGACCGCCTTTCGGCTGTGCTCGCACGCATACCTCAACGTCCCAGCCATTTCCGCCATGGAGTGGCACCCGTTCACGATCATGATCACACCGACCCACGACGGCGTCGCGTTTTGTATCAAGGCGGTCAAACCGCACAGTTTTACGCACAAAGTGCACCTCCTCGCGCAAATCCAAGACTGTCTCCAAGTCAAGCTGGCGGGGCCGTACGGACAGCCCACCGTCGACCTAACGCAGTACCAACAAGTTGTGCTGATGGGCGGCGGGATCGGGGTCACGCCGCTCTTGGGCGCAATCAACTATTTGGACAGCCACGTCCGTGTAAAGATCCACTTGTGTTGGGTGGTAAGGCCGCCGCGTCTCTCTCGACTTGGTATGTCACTCTCGTGCTGTTGTGTGCAGGTGCGTCACCCCGACGAGCTCCTGTGCTGCCAGACCATGATGTTTCCACTGCCGCACTTTGTCACGTCCGAGTTTTACGTGAGTTTGGCCATCTCGGAAGGGCACATACAAACGGACAATGGCGAGGTCGTGTCGTTCCAGCCTGGCCGTCCCAACGCGGACACTGTCCTGCGGAGGTTCCAAAACATTCCGGACACGTGCGTCGTGGCTTGCGGTCCCGAAGGCTTGATTGTGGACACGCAGCGCGAAGCGTATGACCGCGGGTTTGACTTCCAGAAGGTCGTGTTTGCGTTTTAAGAGTTTGGTGGAGTTCATGCCGCGTTGGCTGCGAGTTGCATGACCCCATCGCTTTTGTGCCGTCCTGTGGCAAGACACGGCGCGGACGCCCCCTCGAGCGGTCGCGCCATCGTCGTCGCAGCTGGCCAATTTTCCTGCGCGCTGAGACACCGTCTCGTCCGCGACACGCGTATGAGCCGTTCGAGATGTAGAGACATGTTCTTGAAGCCAGGGAGTCCTTGATGTAAACAGATCGGAATTCCCTGCAGATGTCAAAATGACATGGAAAACACGACGACTCCTTGCATGTCCCAACGATGGCATTCATGATCTGGTCCAAGAAGCGCGATGCAACGAGCCCGCTTGCGGACTTGGGCTTTGCGAAGACAACGACGTCAAGCATGCCGTGAAGCCACAGCGGCAGTGCATGCGCTCCTTCTCTAGGTCCATGTTTGAGGTCGGACAGGGTTGGATTTCCAGTTGAGACAACATCGTCATGTGCTTTCGAGCAATATGTCGGACGTTTTCGCGTCGTTGGGCGAAATTGCGTGATATATAAGGTGCATGAATTGGATTGGCAAAGCTTGTGCTGCCAGCCCCAACACAGCCGTGCATGGACTGTGGGAACGGCTCCTTCCTTTCACGGCACGTTACGTCGGCGGGTGCTCCTATCCGAGCAAATCATATCAAACTGAATCCTCAAGGACGAGCACTCCCAGTGGATGACAGCAGCAAGCTTCAGAGGGGGGAAGGCCATTCCCTTTGGATGACAGTGTCTAGTTTGTTGTATATTTCCGATGATGGCGCGCGATTTTCTGGAAGCCAACGTAGCCTTCACACGACGCTTCAACTAGTTCATTGCAATAGCAAGAGCGCGACAGTGGTTGACTTGGCATGGCGCACAGAGCCATTCCAATTCAACGCGACAGTACTTGCCGCCGCGTGCTGTCGTTCATTCCATCGCGTTGCGCCAAGCCACTCCACGATGCCTGCATCGACAGACTATTCACCGGGTGATATTACACTCGAACGTCGGGATGAAAAGGAGGTCATAATATTCGAGCGAATTCCCAAGATTTTAGCCAATGGGAGACCTTTCTCGCCACGACGAAAGACATGATGTGACGCACATTTTGACGACATTCCTGATTTCGTTGGATTATCTACGCAGAACGGCATTTGATTGGGCATCTCGTTTAAACCAAAATGTCACGAGTTCGCATTAGAGGTATTACTACCTCCATCCAGAAATATATGCTCCAATCAAACTACTACGTAGTACTCCCTCTGTTCCAAAATAAGTGCGCGAGTTTGAGGAGGGTTGACATGTGTTGTCATTTTATTTTCAAGGCAAAATTGAAACGAAGTTTAACCTAGACGGACCTGACGGCTTTCAGAGCTACTGGCACGACTCAAGGCTCCCCCCCGAAATGTTCTCAAAGCGTGTTGGCGGTGGCCGCAGTGTTATGGTGTGGGGGGCGTTTTCCTACGATGGGAAAAGTGAACTGGCCTTCCTTCAAGGCTCACAAGACTCCGTCAAGTATTGCAAGACGTTGGAGACCCACCTTTTTCCGTTTTTGGACTTCGTGCGGGGCGAGAATCCTGGCCGGCGGGTGATCTTCCTGCAGGACAACGCATCAATTCACGTCTCAAGACACACCATGGCGTACCTCCGTGACAAGGACGTTCCAACTATGGCCTGGCCAGCCCTCAGCCCCGATCTCAACCCAATTGAGAACGTTTGGGGTTTTTTGGCTCGTGCTGTGTACCGAAATGGTCACCAATACGACACCGTTGAAGACTTGAAGCGACAAATTGCCATCGAGTGGGAACGTATCACGCTAGCGTACTGTCGGACACTTGTTGACAGTATGTCGACACGAATGGCTCAAGTCATTTTGAAGAGAGGAGCAAAAATCGACTATTAGTCGACATGTAGGTAGTGCGGCTATAATAATGCACCGAACATTTTTGAGTGTTTTCTTCGTAAATCAAAAATTGATATAGCCATGGAGCTGTGTACGTCATGATGGGAGCGCTCTCGTCATCTCTTTCGAACAGAATGGTTAGATATCGAGCTTGTTGAACAGCAACTTCACATCATGAAAATTTTGGGGTGCGGCTATAATTTTGTTCCAGACTGTATGTTATTGCGGTATGATCGTAAAATGTTAGCTGCTATCGACCAATCCGTTGCATTAAGCATTTGTTTTTATCTAATCAGAAGTCGGTCATTCAATTTCCTTTCTGAATTTTGTCGAATGGGTGTCGGATGTGAGTATTGTGCGCGAAATATTTTCAATGCGTCAGTTTAGTGCCTGTCCCCAGAATTAGCCAATCAAATGCCATCTTCAAAGTTGACCAATCGAATCGCATCTGTATCGGGACATTTGGTCGTGTTTGCTTGCCAAATTTTGTTAAAGAATTCACTTCTAGATGTCGCACAAAATGTTCTTGAAGCCAGGGTGTATTTCATGTATACGGAGCGAAATTCCCTGGACATGTCAAAACATCGGTCAATGTGCTGCCTTCTTGTCGCTGCGGGTGCGGTGCAGCTTCCAAGGAGTTCCGATGGAGGTATTCTCGATCTGGAGGTAGAAGCGCGATGCCGTCGAGCCCGTTCATGGACGAGGACTTCGCGAAGACGATGACATCAAGCGTGCCGCGAAACCACACGCCCGCCCTTCTATGGAAGAACTACCTCCTCAAGAAAAAGCACCCTATCAAGTGGGCCTTCGAGGTCCTCTTGCCCGTCGCATTCATTGTATTGTTGGCAGGACTCAAGACACTCACGGACAACGTGCCCATCCCCGCAGGATGGTCGGAAGCACCCTCCACGTCTTTCTTTTCAACTGGTCCGACCGAAGGCATTGCGTACAATCTGTTTGCGAAGCCGACGCCGTCGTTGACAGACTTCCTCATGTCTTCCACATCCACGTTCCGAACCCCCAAATACTACCTCACCGAAACGACACTATCTGGCATTTTGGCAAATCTGGCCGCGTCATCCTTTGCCGATGGGATTCGCATCAAGGAATTGTCGGTCGCCGACCGCCGCGCGTGTGAAGTCAAAGTTGTGTTTCAAGGCGCAGTCAACATCGACCCGGCGTCGCCGAATGCAATCCCCCAAGAATGCCGCGGCAAAGTCGTGCCGTACAAGCTTGCTATCGTCCCTGACAACGAGTTCACTCGGTCGTACTTCGCAGCGACGTTGAGCACCTGGTATCCCCGCATCGACATCGGGCGCGCGGGCCAGTTGAACGTGTCGCTCCCCGGGTTCAACGACTCGGTGGTATTTTTCAACTCGCCCGAAGACTTAGAAGCGTACGTCACTGGTAAGCCAGGCATCGTGTACGTGGAAAGGCGCTCAGCGTTATGTGCAGGACGCTCGTATGGGCAGGACCTGGCGAACCCCAAGATCTTTGCCGGCCTTGTCTTCAACAAGTTCCCCTCCGAGCTTGGTGTCGAAGGCTCGATTGACTACACTCTACGCTTCAACTCAACGAATGGCCGCCGGGGCGGCATCGGCGACGTGCCGAAGACGAGCCGCATCCTGTACGATCCGTATCAGCGGTCCATCAGGAGTACTATCTACTCCCGGTAATCCCCGTTCTCTCCATGATCCTCGGTGCCTTCAAGTCACTCATAATACGTCGTGCAGCTACACCCAACGTGGTTTCCTCACGCTTCAGACTGCAGTCGCCCGGTTTGCCACGTGTGTGCCCGTGTGGAACGGCACTACGACTACAGGCGAATGCACGCGACGAAACAGCCGCGTGCCCGACGGATCGCTGGATGCTCGGTTCATGGTGCAGGTGCAAAACGATTTGTACCTGAACAAGCTTGTCGACGATGCCAATGCGTTTGCAAAATCGACGCCAAGAGGCGGCAATGCGTCGAGTGCGTTGTCGCTGGCCGCAGTAAGTCAAGCCACCCAGACGATGCTGGCTATGCCGTTGCGCCAGGCGCCGCAGCCGTATTTTGGCAGTGCCGTGTTCCCTTTCCCCATCCAGGCCTACACGTCGTCACCGTTCTACACGCTTGTGGACCGGTACTTTGCGCTCGTGTTTGTGATCTCGTACTTGTATGCGATTTCGTCCGTCCTCGTGGCGCTCATTCACGAGAAGGAAGCGAAATCCCGCGAACTGCTCAAGATCATGGGTGTGTCCGAGCACGCGATTGTGCTATCGTGGTACATCACGTACGGCGGGGTGTTTGTCGTGGCCGCGATTTTGCAAGCTGTCGCGGGAAGCATCACCCTGTTCCCCAACACGAACGTTTTCCTGTCGTTCGTGTTCTTTTTACTCTTTGGATTATCCGTCCTTAGCTACGGCTTTCTCGTCAGCGCGATCTTCTCCAAGGCCCGCACCGGCGCGTACGTTGGCATCATTGGGTTCTTCGCAATGTACTTGGTCTCGGCCGCATTTACACCAGACACGGACGAAAGCGTGAAAACCTTGAGCTGCGTCCTCGCCCCAGTCGCACTCAGCTTTGGCACGTCGGCCCTGGCCAGCGCGGAAACCAACTCGCTCGGCCTGTCGTTCGCGAATGCGAGCGACCCGTACAACAACTTTCGTTTTGCGACGGCGCTGTGGATGCTTGCCCTCGATTCCGTCCTGTACACGCTCCTCGGCATGTACTTGGAGCTGGTCGTGCCCAACGACTACGGTGTTCCACTGCCGTGGCACTTTCCGCTCACGTTTTGGATCAAGCCGCGTACCGCCGGTAACCAAGGACTTTGCGTCGACGCTGTCACCGACTCGCACGTTCCCATTGAAGACGTTGGCATGGACTTGCAACAGCAAGAGCAATCTGGCGATGCCCTGCAAATCCAAAACCTTCGCAAAGTGTTTCCCGTTTCGGGCGGGGAAAAGGTCGCCGTGAAAGGCATGAACTTGACCATGTACAAGAACCAGATCACGTGCTTGCTCGGCCACAATGGCGCTGGCAAAACGACGCTCATCTCGATGCTTACGGGTATGCTCCCAGCATCGAGTGGCGACGCTTCAGTTCACGGCCTCTCCCTTCGCCGCGATCTGCCAGCGATACGCCAGTCCTTGGGCATGTGCCCGCAGCACGATGTTCTGTATGCAGAACTCACAGTGTACGAACACTTGATCTTTTACGGACGCATCAAGGGGTACCGCGGCAAGGCGTTGGAGGACGAGGTCGAGAACAAGATCAACGAAGTCGGTTTGACCGAGAAGCGCCACGTCCGGTCGACGGAACTTTCTGGCGGGATGAAGCGCAAGTTGAGTTTGGCAATTGCGTTGCTCGGAGACAGCAAGATCGTGTTTCTGGACGAGCCGACGTCCGGGATGGACCCGTACAGTCGTCGTAGCAGTTGGGAGATCATCATGAACAACCGATACAACCGCATTGTGGTGCTGACGACGCACTTCATGGACGAAGCGGACATTTTGGGCGACCGCATTGCGATCATGGCGGAGGGGGAGCTCCGGTGCTGCGGGTCTTCCCTCTTCTTGAAGAACCGGTACGGCGCCGGGTACAACTTTTCCCTGGTCAAGACTGAACGATGCAACACCCCCGCATTGATCGAGTTTGTCCA